TGGTACCATTTTGCATTTCCACCAGCGATGAATCATTGCTCTGTATCCTTGCCAGTGTTTGGTGGTATCAGTATTTTGGAGTTTGGCCATTATAAGTCTAGAGTGTTACCTTATTTTAATTTGCAATTTCCTTATGACTTATAATATGGACTATCTTTTCATATGTTTATCTGCTACCTGTATAAGTCCTTGTTCCATTTATTTATTTATTTATCTTAATTGTTTAAAAACACTAAGAATTCTTCTATTTTAAGAGTTATTTGTATATTTTGAATAATAATACTTCATAGCAATCTCATTTGCAAATATTTTTCTGGGGCTTATCTTTTCATTTTCTTCACACTTTTTCATAAACAGAAACTTAATTTTAATGAACTCCAGCTTATTAATAATTTTGTTTATAGAGTGTGACTTTGGTGTTGTACCTAAAATGCCATGACCATGGCTAAAGTCAAATATATGATCTTCTAGGAATTTTGTAGTTTTGGGTTTTACATTTAGGTCTGGGATCAATTTTTGAATTAAATTTGTAAAGGTATAAGTTTTGTTGTCTAAATTCACTTTATGCATGTGGTTTTATCGTTATCAAATAACCACTTATACAAAAGATTATCTCATCTTCATCATATTTACTTTTCTCCTTTCCAAAAGATCAGTTCACTATGATTGTGCCTTTCTGGGCTCTGTGCTCTTGTTCCATTGATCTACTTGTCTATTTTTCACAAATACCATGCTGTTTCATTATTACAGCTGTATAATTAGATTTGAACATTTAATACTGGACAAATTGCCAAACACTATCTGGAGTGGTACACTATGTGACTTACTAATATTCCTCAATAAAAGTGGTGTTTGCTCTTGAGAGTACTCTATTGTGAAATATATTCTCCATGAGAATGGCGGGGCAATTTCCTGTTCTCCTTGTTGTTTATAATCCAAAAGAGCCCAGCATCCCCACATCCAAACCTTTTTCTCAAACAATTAATTTGAACTTAATTAAAGACTATTAGGATTCTATACTTTGATGTCATGGACATCAAAATCCAGATAACTATATTAGCACTTGCATCTTTCCTACATGCCTCTCAGGCTTCAGTATTTATTTTGTTAAAATGTATGAATATTTTTGTAACAAAAACCTATTTATTTGACCACATTTACATGCTTTTCCCTTTCTCCATTTCTGCTAATTTTCCTATCTAAATAAATAGTTATTTACACAAAGTAGTAAAATTCAACACTCTGATGCAGACACATTAAAATATAAATATTATAGAACCTAATTGAGTTATTCAGGGGAGAAAGTATTTTTATCAACTAACCCTAAATATAATATTCCTGTAAAATATATTCATTTTGTATCAGTGAATGCACCAAACTCTTCAAACATATCAGGGTTCCCTGTAAGATTGCTAATATTTTAAAAAGGTATAGTATTTAATACTATGGAACAAAGGAAGAAAAGGGGAAGAGAAAGAGGGAGAGAGAAAAACAAACAAAAAAAAAGAAATATTGGGCTCAGCACAGTGTCTGGAGGATCCCTTCAGAGTATAATACATTAGAAGAGAAGGGGTATGAAAAGAAGTTATTAAAGAAACAGAAAAAAAAAAACAAAATTAGAAGAGTGTCAGGGAAGTAAAAGGGCAAAAAAATCTTTAAATGAGGATTGATATATAACACTTTAAGTACTGATGGGTATTATGTTTTGGATGTGAATGTCCCCTAAATGTCCCACATGCTAAAAGTTTGGTCACTGCTTGCAGCACCAATGTGAGGCAGTGGTACCTTTAGGAGGTGGATCCTAGTGGAAGGAGTTAGGTCACTAAGGCATACCCTGGAAGGGGATATTGGAACCCCAACCCCTTCCTTTCTTTTCTCTTTGTTTTTGCTTCTTAGCAGCCATGAAGAGAACAGTTTTCTTCTGCCACATGTTTCTGCTGTGATACAGTGTATCACCACAGACCCAAAGCAAGAGGACCAAGCAGCCATGGACTGTAAATCCTAAATCATGAGCTCAAATTAACCATTTTAATTTGGTTTATGATCTTGGTTTCTGTCACAGCCATAGAAAGCTGACTAACACAGTAGGAAACAAGATGAGAACTAAAAAGTGTCCAGTGGACTTAGCAATAGGTCAGTCATGTAGCTACCTTAGAAATTCTGGAAGAGTTATGAGGACCCAGGAAGTTTACAGAAAATGAAAGATAAGGACATGGGCACGGTATTGGCAAAATCCCTTTGAGAAGTCTGTGTAGGTAGCAGATGCAAGGATATCATCTAGAGAAGTATGCTCATTACAGCCATGGATTGGTGGATTTTACAATTCACATAGACTTCCAATACGAAGTATTTCAAAGTAAAATACCTGACAAGTCAGACAGAGAGGAGGTAGAAGTTGGAGTCCTGGAAGTTGGGGTGTTTCATATCAACACAAAAGGAGGAAAGCAGAGATTGTTGAGTGCAGACTGAATAAGCTTTGTAGATTTAAAGGCAAAAGAACCAGGGGGAGGGCATCAGATAATTTCTATTTTCTCAATGAAATTAAAAGGAATATTATCAACTATAAGGAAAGAAGGAGGGCAAAGAAGGCAAAGGAAATTTGAAGAATTAGGGAAAAAATGGAACTTGCTAAAATGCGTACTTCTTAATGTATGAAAGGACAGAAGTTGTGACAAAGCTTTCTTACTGTTTTTGTAATTGGGAGTAATGTAAATGGGAGCATTCTGTTCATAAATTTTAGTTCTTTCTCCATGATCATAAAGTGGTAAGAAGGTTCTAAGATGGAAAGGAATCACTCTGAGGCTTGAAGAGAAGACAAAATCACATGAAGTATCCTCTACTTTGAGCCATAAAGAATAAGCAGAAGGTGGGCATGAGAACAAAAGATAAAGCAGTGTTTTGGGGCCTGTGTAACAAAACTAAAGGCATGAAAGTAGGATATTCTGAGAGGTCCAGCAGTGCCATAGTCATCAGGGGCAAAGGTGCCATACCTGCTTCTCTTTCCTGCCATCTGAAATTCAGAATGTGCGTATATTTTAACAATTACAGTTTCTAAAGGCAAAGAACATCATGGAAAAAATATGTATATATACTGCTAAGGGTGGTTCTCACCCCCAAAGGATATTATTTCCATCTAAGAGTCATTTCAAAAGCGGGAAAGACAGAGTCTGAGGGAATTGGTACTTTTTACTTTGGTTTCCTGCTTCAGGTGCCTACAGCAACAATCTCTTAGAGAGCAGAAACCACATAATAATATAATTAATGATATTTTTTTGGTCTCAGCTCTCCTTTATAACAGAATCTCATTTCACAGCAAAGCTGTTATTTTTCTTTCAGTACCACATACATAACAGAAATACTAAAAATGTGTTGTCTTAAATGCCTGCATAATTTAGATGAAGGCGAAGACGAGAAAATGGCATTGCTATTGTTTGGTAAGCTCATGCATTAAAAGGCAAATTACTTTTTATATCTGAAGAATTAATTCTCATTACATTTAATTCTTATTTCTTACTCTTCCTGACTCTGCACACCCTTCTCTGCTTTTCCTTAACCACACCCTTACTATAAATTAGTTATTTTCAAACATGTTTGATAAATTTCTGCTAAGTTGGTATAAATATTTGATATTTCTTTTCTATTATAAGTCACACATTTTTCCTTCTTGATATATTCAGCAAAGTACTCAATCAATACATTATAGAAATGATCAACTGAGCAGGAATATGTAATAGCAACCAATTAGATAGGCATGGCAAGTTGCTTATATTTTTGAAACTGAGACTGCCACTCTGAGGTAATCCCTGGCAAGTGTTATATTCTAGTCTAACAGATATCTGAATTAAATCATGGGTACAACTGAGCAACTCAGAAGAATTAAGATTGCATCAACCAAGTTCATTGTCATTTTAAAAATTTGATTAATCTTCAAATGCAGCTTTTTGATTATAAAAAATTTTAAAAATATTTTTCAGTTGTAGATGAACACACAGTATCTTTATTTATTTTTAAGTGGTGCTGAGAATCGAACCCAGTGCCTCACATATGCAAGGCAAGTCCTTTACAACTGAGCTACAGCCCCAGTCCCATAAAATATTTTTGATGATTTTGTCATCATTGTTTTTTGAACTAATGCTTACCAAGACTATGAAAAGTTATACAACTACAAACTAAAAACTATAAATCTATGTAACATTACAATGCTATTACATTGTTTAATATACTTACCACTATCTAAAATTAATTATACATATATTGAATATTTGTATTACTGATACATATATACTTATTCATGTTTATGTGTATCTCTCTATATATACATATATATCCTTGTTTTTTCTTATCATTTAACATAGACATGAATTTAGATACAGTTTGAAAGCCCCAAATTTTATGTGAACAACAAAAATCTTGTACTCTGTTTACATCTGCAGTTATATTATTTAGTGATATGATTTGTGCTAAAGTGAAAAGTCATATACACACTAACTCTCACAGAATTAGAATCTCCAGCTTTATCAACTTTTAAGATGAGTAGCTTAGAGTGGTCAAAAGGGTCTGCAAGGAAACCAAAGGACCAATTGGGCGGAGTTGATCTGCTGGGCTTTAATAACACCATTGATCATGAGAGAACTTAAACACATGGATTCACTTTCAACCATGGCATCAAAATACTGATCTTATTGTCCTCTTTATCCCAACCAGAAGATCCCTAGTATTCAACATAAACTAACCCCACATTTCATTTGACAGAGGAGTAGTTTAAGAGTCCCCTACTTCCAATTTCCAATACAGATTTAACATGTGCAAGAGGACTTAGTGCATCAGTTTATCTTGCTATAACATAAAGGCAAAAAAAACACCCCAAGAAAACATTTAAAAAAAAACATTTTATTTCTTGTGATACACAGAAGAGCCTCTCCTCTGCCTGACCACATTATGGTTTGAAAGGATTTCTTATCAAACTCTCACCACACAAAGAAAAAGAAAGCTTCTCTTACCAGAGTGGGATAAAGCTTCAACCTTGCTGTCTTGTTTTCTGCAGCTCTTGTTTGAAAAGGCAGATCCAAAGCAGCTTTGTGCATACAACTGATCTGGCTGATCTCCAGCCCCTGCACAAAAAAACCAGTATAATTGGCTCTCAAAAAAGTGTTGTAAACATTCATCATGATGGCACTTGCATGTTAAATCTGGTCACTGTTACCCTTATAAACTTTTTCCAAACAGGCCAATTACATTTCTTCTTTCAATTCTGGTTGATTGTTTATCTTTGTTCAAAGCTGATATTAATATTTTTAAAGAAAGCCTCAATTTATGAGTGCCAGATCCCATATATGTCAATACCTCTGAAACTTGCACTTGTAGCTAAGGCTTAAAAACAAAGAAACAACAACAAATAAAATTCCACACATACGTATGATTTTAAATCAAGATAAAATTGTCCAATAAAAACATGTACTTAGCTCCTGTATGTCTTTGTTTTTAAATTTGACAATATTAAGGCCACCATTTATATTCTAATGAGATATCAGTATTATTAAGTCTCTTTCATTTACTATTTGATAAAAGTCAACTGAACAGTCTACATCTCTATTTTGCCCAGAAGCCACATCAATGATGCCTGCAACATACCCCAGAGTCTGAGACCAACTGTGCTGGATTTCTAAGTCTTGTTAAATATTCTACTGTTCCTTTGCCCAAATCTTCAAAGGGGCCCAGACACAATCAATCCTTTAATTTTTATGGGAGCAATGAAGGGTGTCACACGGCTTTTTTTTTTTTTTTTTTAGATTTTTAAGCATTCAACTTTTATGGGAGCATTAACTGGTTATAACTGTGAATGACATATTCTTGTTTCCAAGAGAATATGAACGCTAGATCAAAAAAGAAAAAAGTACCAGTGAAGAACACAGTATCAATCTGTATCATTCTTTCTAATGATCTAAGCAATATGTTGATCTTACAATGACATGAAGATGTAATCTTTGCTTCCCATATACATAAAGGCTCATTAATGGTGATGAGCACTACCATCATTTGAAAAAAGAGTCAACTGCATAGAAGGGATGGGTTTATTGCATTTTATATCTGTCATTTTTTTCATCATGTGTACAAATTAAAGAAGTATAACAAAACAGGTTAGGACTATACAAATGATTTATAAATATACCCAAGAAGTATAAATTATGAAAATATGTAGTCTCCTATAAGCACGTAAAAATCTTGGGTACTCTACAAGTGTAAATATCTGAAGCTAATCGTTACTAATTGAAATCTTCAGGTAAAATAAGGATAAACAATAAAGCATGGAAGTTAAACACTCCTTATTTATAAGTATTGGTCTCATTTGATGATTTATCTTTTGCCCCCCTGAGTAGTTCTGGATTATATCCTTACTGGTCCTGAAACCCTTTCTCTTCTTCATCTGCGCTTTCCCTGTAGGTGATCTCCTCCAGTTTCCTGACTTCAAATATTGCCTATGTTCTTTTGATTGCTAAATTTACATCTGTTGCCTCACCTCACCACTGTACTCCAAATAAGATTCTCCATCTGAGTACCAATATCCATTCTTGACTGTAATAGGATTTTAAAATCCAAGTGTGGCCTAAATAGAAAATTCAAACACATCATATTTTTGAAAGTCACACCTTTCTCTAATCTTCCATATTTTAATGACACTTAATAATTGCTCAAGCAAATAAAGTTTAAAATTTTACATTAAATACTTATAATAGTAAAATGCATGAAGGTTACCATCTTAACTATTTCTATTTGTAGGTTACGTAATTTCACATTACTGTGAAATGGATCTTCAGAACTATTTTTTTTTCATTTTGTAAGATTGAAACTTTATACCCATTAAATGACTCCTCAATGGGAGTGACCCACTAATATATGCAGAAGTGGAGAAAAATCTCTAAATTGTACTGAGTTCAAGAAGCTAAACATAAAGAGTGCATGCTGTATGATTTCATTCATGTGAAATTCTAAAAATGAAAACTTCATAGTGACAGAGCAGTTCAGTTATTGCCTGAAGGACCAGAAAGGAGGGATGGAAGTGCTGGTGTGAGGGATTGCAAAGGATCAAAATGAAATTTTTGAGGGTGACAGTTGTATTTTTTTTTTTTTTACATTGCGATGGCTTCATGAGTGTATGTACATGCCAAAACTTGTCAAATTACTCTTTATATATGTATAGTTTGTGTCAATTAAATAGTACTATGTTTATAATGTTTGTAAATAAGACTCCCTAAAATAAATAAGAGAATTATACTTGATCTAATGTATAAAGAAAAAAAATGTAAAGGAACCTCACAAAAGAGACTCAGCAAATGGCTAATATTGTATAAAGGAGCTTACAACATTATTGTCCTTCAGGGAAGTTTGCACTATATTGAGTAGAGTTTGTAAAATGGATTCCTTCAAGATCTGGGGAGAAGGTAGAACATGTGGAACTTGTGTAAACTGATGAGAGGACAACATATTAGTACAAGCATTATGAAAAACTGACAGTATACACTGAGGCTGAAAATGTACTTATCCTATGACCCTGTCAACAACTCTACTCCTAGTTTCACATTAAGAATGTACACACATATGACACCAAAAGATACAAACATCAGATTACTAGAATTTTATGGAAGCTTGCTTTGTAGTACCTAAAAATTGGAAACTATCCAAATGTCCATTAGCAGCAAAGTGACTGAATGTGTTTTGAAATATTCACAAAATAGAACACAATATATGAATGAAAAGGAACTAACTTTTGCTTTACACAGCATGGGTAAACCTCACATAATGTTGAGATGGGATTCTCTACACAAAGATTATATCTTTTATGATTCTATTTATATGTACTTCAAGATGTATAAAACTAAAATGTTATGAAAGAAGTCAATCTTCTGATTATCTTCAAATAAAGTATATTTAACAACTCAGAGGAGAAACAAAATGATTCCCTCAAACGTTGGTAATGTTAAAACGAATTAGGTTGTTCGCTAAGAGTTTCTAGTCTCCTGGATATGTGTTATGCTTCAATAAACTTCTTCTAAGATATGAAAACATACATATACAAATATAATAAAATTCACTGTGATATGACTTATTTAGAACAGGTTATTTAATGCTAAACATATAACTTAAAATATTTGTGAAAACACTGCTAAGTAAATTTTGTCCTTATAATGAAAAGCAATTACATGGATAAGGTTAAAATGTTTTGTTATGAAAGTAGTCATTTGGATAAATATTCATTCCAGGAAAGCTGTTTGAAATGGCATTGACCAGGTAAATAATGTATTTATTTTCAAAATAGTGTACAATTATAGCAGAGATACTACTTTGTATTCACTCCACATTACCTGTTTATTATAAAATATATTGAGGTTCTGACTTAGGGAAAATAACTATTTTTGTGCAGATTTACAAAGTCAGTATCTTAAAGAAAAAGTAAAACAAGGTAGTGTCATATTATTATCTTATTGCTTTTTAAATCCACATTACTAATACCATGGTATGTATTGTTTTATATTATTTCTTATTCATGTAATAAGGTAAGAACTGCTCTTGGGACTTGGAGCTACATAATGGAATTCATGCTTCTGATCTGTATGGGTGTGATGATGGTGCTGAAAAGCAAGAGGGTACCAGTTACACAGAAGTAGGGATGAAAATCTATAAATCTGGATAAATTTTTGTCACTATGCCTGCTTTTCCCCATCTATTAGACCAGAGACCCTAGGCCTAATAGAGAAAAATAGGCCCAAGTTTTCATCATGTCAGATTAGGCCCTGGCTTCCTTAACCACTCCTAAAGCACAAGAAATAAAATCAAGAATTAATAATTGGGATGGACTCAAATTAAAAAGCTTCTTCACAGCAAAAGAAACAATCAATAGTTGAAGAAAGATTCTATATTTTGGGAACAAATTTTTGCCACACACATCACATAGAGCACTAATCTCCAGGATATCTAAAGAACTCAAAAAAAAAAATTAACACAAAAACAACAAATAAACCAATCAATCAATGGGCTAAGGAGCTGAACAGATACTTTTCAGAAACAGATATACATTCAATCAACAAATATATGAAAAAATGTTCAACATCTCTAGTAACTACAGAAATGCAAACCAGAACTACTCTTAAGATTTCATCTCACAGGTCAGGTCAGAATGGCAGTTTTCAAGAATGCAGACAACAATAATTGTTGGTAAGGATGTGGGGGAAAAGGCACACTCATACATTGCTGGCGGGACTGCAAATTGATGCATCCACTCTGGAAAGCAGTATGGAGATTCCTCAGAAAACCTGCAATGGAATCACCATCTGACCCAGCTATCCCACCCCTTCCTTGGTCTATACCCAAATGAATTAAAATGAGCATATTATAGTAACACAGCTACATCAATGTTTATAGCAGCTTAATTCACAATAGCTAAACTGTGGAACCAACCTAGATGCCCTTCAATAGATGAATGGATAAAGGAACATCAATATACACAATGGAATATTACTCAGTATTAAAAGAGAATAAAAGTATTGCATTTGCAGGTAAATAGATGGAGCTGGAGAATATCATGTTAAGTGAAGTAAGCCAATCCCCAAAAAACCAAAGGCCAAATGTTCTCATCCTCATTATGGATGCTGATCCATAATGAGGGGGACAGGTATTAGGGAAGGAAAGATGGTGAAATGAGATGAATATCATTAACCTAGGTACATGTATGACTACTCATATGGTGTGATGCTACATTGTGTACAAAGAAATGGAAAGTTGTGCTGCAATTGTGTACAATGAATCAAAATGCATTCTGCTGTCATATATACCTAATTAAAATTAATCAATTAAAAAATAATTGTATGTGCTAAGCACTCAACTCAATATTTGCCTCTTTCATAATAATAGTGTACTGATCAATAAAAAGTAAAAAAAAAATGAGAGATGACAGTACTAAATCTATAGCCTGGCAGGAGACAACAACATAATAAGCCTGACATGACTAAAATAGACCTTCATGCATTGTGGATTATGCATTATATACAAATAAATAAAAATGTTTAATCTAAATATTTAGCATTGCCACATCATGCTCTAGTATCAAGATGTTCAT